GCCCCAGAGGATGAGAGGACAAGCGTGGCAGGATGTTCCACAGAAGGAAATGGCTGGACACAAAGCAGTGAGGCTGAAGATCAGGGTGGATCAGCAGCACATCCCAAAAAAGCCAGGCTGGTGGAGGCAGCAGATCACGGTGCTGGCCAAGCTGTAGGAAACTGCCAGAGACAAAACCAACCACGTCAGGTATCAGCAGACACAAAAAGCACCTCTGAATGCAAAGGGCAAAACCCGGGTGCAGCAGCTGTTCCACCCCAGCAAAGCAGTGTCAGTAACAGCCCCCAGGCAGATTCTCCCCAGAAAGCCTGGGCTGCACAGGCTCTCCCTGTCTCTGTTTCCCAGACGAGCTCTTACACGTTGGCAAGAAGGGCAAAGAGTGAAGGACTGAAGACGTCAGACTCCTCAGCCTTAATAAAAACCCCGAGCAGCCAGTCTCCAGCAGCTGAAGTGTACTTTGATGCCACTATCAATGACCGGATCTGGAGCAAGCTGGACTGTGCCAGCCACCGTGACAGCATGTCCTCCTCGTCCAGCATGTCCTCCAACGACACCGTCATCGACCTCTCCCTGCCCAGCCTGGCCCGCAAGAGCCTCCCAGACCTGGGCATCCGCCAGGAAAGCCTGGAGCCCCTGGCCATCAGGAAGGGCATGCGGCCCCGCTCCGCCACCACCTGCAGCAACGAGATGCCAATGGTCAGCAAGAGCAAATCCAACCCCAACCTGAGGTCTGGCCAGCTGCCGACCGACGAGCTGTGCCCCCGGCCCCTGGCCAGGAGCCCTCAGGACGCCTTCTCATCCATCCCTAGAAGGCACACCTGGAGCAGGCTCTACATGGAGAGTCTCAGGCAGTCCTCTAACAAATCCAAAGCGCATGACACGGTTGGGAATAATCAGGCAAAGTCCAAAAGCCTTGGGGACCTCACCTCTGATGACATCGTGTGTACTTTTGAAAGCAAATACCGCAGCATCAGCAGGAGCTTCGTCACGCGCTCCATGCGGGAGCAGCGCCGCTCCGCCAGCCTGCGGGCCTCGGCCAAATCTCGGGACGAGCTGACGGAGCAGCTGAAGAAGCTGACGGCATTCCAGCAGGAAAACGACATCACCTCCCCCATCAGCCTGGAGCCCAGCGAGTCGGAGGAGGAGGGCGAGAGCGTGGGGCTGCTGCGCCGCTCGTCCTCGCGCAGCCAGAGCCGCGTGCGCTACATCGCCAACAGGGCACGGCAGGCCCAGGAGAGGCAGCGCCTGCAGGGCCGGGCACAGCTCGCGGGCAGCCCCATCGAGGAAAGGGGCAACCCCGAGGGCGCCTGCAGCGTGGGCAGGGCCGGCTGCACCGACCCCGCTGCCCACGCGGCCCTGGCGGCCTCGCCCAAGGCCCAGCCTGACTGCGCGGCCGACACTGAGGTGTTCTTCATGCTCAAACTGTGACCCTGGGCACTGCTGGTACTCCTGGCACAGCAAAACACCCCAAAACCTGAGAGGCCCAAAATAATCCTGTGCTTCCTGGCCTTCCCTTGAGCCAAGGGTGCTTGAGATCACAACTCCAAAGGAACTGGCCCTGGCGGCCTCGCCCAAGGCCCAGCCTGACTGCGCGGCCGACACTGAGGTGTTCTTCATGCTCAAACTGTGACCCTGGGCACTGCTGGTACTCCTGGCACAGCAAAACACCCCAAAACCTGAGAGGCCCAAAACATCCTGTGCTTCCTGGCCTTCCCTTGAGCCAAGGGTGCTTGAGATCACAACTCCAAAGGAGCTGGCCCTGGCTGGGCCCAACTTCATGGCCAACACCAAGGTGTTCTTCATGCTCAAACTGTGATCCTGGCAGTGCTGGGCACTGCTGGCACTCCTGGCACAGCAAAACCTGAGAGGCCCAAAATAATCCTGTGCTTCCTGGCCTTCCCTTGAGCCAAGGGTGCTTGATATCACAACTCCAAAGGAACTGATGAGGATTTATTTTTAATTGAGCTTTGCCCAGCCTCCAATCGGGCCTCCTTTGTGTGTGAGCACTTCTTGCGTTTGCAGTCTGCTCTTGGTCTTTACTAATTTCAATAATTCTTCTGACAATAGTAACCTTGATGTGTGATAGCTAAATGTGATGCTAACAACAGCTAAGGTGAATTTTGCTCTTACAAATCACGGATCCATGTTAGGAGGCTGGACTTAAAATCATATTTTATTTTCTGGAAGAGTTTGAGGCCTCTGAGGGTGTGAATTAATAATGCAGTAGATACAGTCCATCTTCCATCGTGGACCTGCTTATTTCAGTGAAAATCCATATTTTCTCTTTGAAGAAAAGCTCTCTTGTTCCAAAGCAATGCTTTTATAAACTCAGCCTGTTTATATATCTATATATATATAAATATCTATATATATACACCTGTGTGTATGCAAAGATATGTCTGCACATATGATAAGATATGTATGCACAAATGCACACCCTGAACCTGAACTGTGACTGCTCCTTGTCTCAAGGCATTGTCTGAGGGAATTGAGACAGGAGAGAGAAGGGAATGGCTAAAAATAGAAATATCTTCTGACTTTACTTCAGAAATGGCTACAAAGCATGTTAGTCTTTTCTTGAAACAGCACTGTCCCTTCTTATGGTATTTTAACAATGCTGCTGTACATAGCACTTTTTGGATGAATTTTACTATTTCTGTATTGCACTGCCATGCAAAATTTTCAATGATATGTTTAAAAAAAAAAGAGATATTTAATTTTTTTAGATGGACATATTTAGAATTAAATAACAACCTAAACAGAGTAATAATTTTTCCTCCCCCCATTTTTTTTACTTTTTATTTTTAGGGATGTTGTCATGTGTCCCTCCCCATCCCCAGTTATGATGTCATTTATTATAGATGTACATTTTATCAGTGATGGAGAAGAATGTTTACTGAGATGCATTTTAAAGAGAAACAGAGGTTTAATTTTATTTGAGGCTGCATAGAGTCCCTATTATTAAGAGGATATTTTGCCTTTGTAATGATTCTTTTGTGTATATTGCAAAATTTAAGAATTTGTTTGTAAAACCACCTTCCACTACTAAAATAAACATATTTAACCTCCCAGCTGGTGACTCTTTAGCTGCAACACAACACTGGGGTTTGTGATACACAAACATGGTTCATTCTATCTGCTTTGTTTTCCAGCTTCCTTTGTGGATAACATTTAATTTTACTCTTTTTCAGAGGGGCAGCCAGTGCAGACCCACTCAGATTTTCTCAGGTCCTCCAGAACTTGTGCAAGAGACTGGCATTGTGTGGTGTGAGACACAGCACAGGGGAGGATGAAAATTCTGGGGCAACTGGTGGAATTAGTAACCAAACAAACAGAAGGAGCTGATCCATCCTGGAGCAGCTGTACAAGTAACACAGATGGCCCTGTTTCATCACTGAGGGGGTTTAAAGTCTGCCTGAAAATGCTGCAGCTCAATTTTGCTCTTCACCTGTCACTTGATTGAAAAATCACTTCTATTCCTGTCCCAGCAAAGTGCACAGTGAAAGTGCATTTTGCTTCCTTCACACTCCTCCTGGAAGGGTTGTCACTTGTGCAGCTGGGAAGGGGCTCTTGGTTCTAATTTTAGTGTCACTTGGTCACAAAAATTTAAACTCTGAGCTACCAAAACAAAATTTAAATTCTGAGATACCAAAATGTAAGGCTGACTGTGTTATCACCATGACACAGCGATGGGGCTGGAGGGGTTAAATTTCCTGATTAAATCTTTTCAAATTCCCTTCAGCATGAAAATATTCCCTCAGTTTTCCAGGCTGGCTCAGATCTGCCCAGCTTGTCTGCAGGATATGCAAAATTTTCAATGATATTTTTTTAAAAAAGAGATATTTAATTTTTTTAGATGGACATATTTAGAATTAAATAACAACCTAAGCAGAGTAATATTTTTTTTTTCCATTATCAGATCCCAGGGCAGCTTTGTGCAGCAGAACTTTGGGATGTGCACTGAGGTGACCCCACAGCATCACTGCAGGCTCTGAAGGGAGGGAGGTGAAGCTGCAGCAGAATGTGGGATCTGCCAAGAGGAGCCTCCCATTGTGTCCCAGCACAAAGTAAGTTTCATTAACATTCTCTGGATGAAAAAATCATTCATGTAATACTTTAATTTCAGGCTGAAAAGCTGCAGGGAGTCACTGCTTTTGTAACTTTAATGCTTTTGCAGCTTTAATGTCGAGTACATGCAACTTGACAGCTTTGGAAAGTTAATGTTTAAAAGGCCTATTTGTGTCTTCTGAAAGACTGAGTCTCACAATCAGATTATTTTCATCTTTAATTGATTAAGCACTTGTTAAATTAATGCACCTCACAGGAGGCAGCATCACTTTAAAACGTTTACCTTCATTCAGAATTTTAACCAACAGTCTCTGGATTTAAATCATTGGGGTACAAGTGAAATTTGCCCTCTTGCTTCCAAATTAATAGCAACCACTTTTACAGCTTGTTTTGTGACACTATGTAAGACTGACTATTCATCATGCATTTATTTCTATAAGTGGAATTTATTTAAGAATTATTTGGAATTTAAATCAGCAGAAGGTCACGAATTTGCTCTTCCTTCTTCTGCTCTTCCTGTGCACCCTGAGACTCCAGGATGTGCATTTCAGTTCATTAAATGGTGAGATCTGAAATCCAGAGTCTCCAGATCACAAGCAGTGTACTGGCCATGGCTGGATGTGGATTTATGGTCTGATAATGAACATTCAGTTGTGATAAAGAACATTCAATTGGGATAATGAACATTGTGTCTTTCAAAGCTGATTTTGTCTGTGTGACCAACAGGCAGGAAAACGGGCACAGCTGCTGGGGACAGCTCCAAAGGGAGGAATTTTACAGCAGCTCCACAGGACACAGGGACAATTCCGTGAGTCCTGATGCAGCATCCAGCTGTGGGACCCAGCTGCCTCCAGAGCTGCTTTGGTGAGGTCTCCTCCTTCCCCCGAAGGTGTCCCCTGGTCCAGCTGGCACGTTTGGAGCCCCTCCTCCTCCTCCTCCTCCTCCTCTCCCGGGTATTTAACCCGGCACGGGATGCCCAAACCTGCAGGATCCTCACTCCTGTGCTGGGCATCCCGAAGGGACGGACAGACGGACAGACAGACGGCCCCAGGGAGTCGCTGTAAGTGAGAAACTGCCTTCAGTTCGTGCTCTGCTTCTGGCAAGGGGCAAAGCCCGCTGCCACCGGCTCCTTCCTGGCTTTTTAACCCCCATTTGCACCCTGTTTGTGCTTTTAGACAAGCAGCGTGTTTAACAACTTTCTGTGCGAGGTGATGCCAGCAGTACCAGCTCTGATGGTTTGGGGTTTTTTGGAGGAGCTCTGATCAGTTTGGGGTTTTTTATAGGAGGCCACTTGAAACAGAAGTTAATTTTGTTGCATATACCAAATTGTAAGAGAAAAGAAACAGGAATTTAGAGGCTAAACCTACCAGGAAAAGCACAGCTCAGCCTGAAGGCTGCTGCTTCTTTTAATTTTATTTTTTTCCCCCCCGTGGTTAAAGCTGATCTGTTTTTGTGCTGCTCTGGCAACAGCCAAGTGCAGCAACTACTTTGTCTAAAAAGCAGTTGTAGGATAAAGTCAGTGTTTGCTGGTTTTCTCAGCTTTTACAGAGATGGGGCAACTGAGAGGTGTTTTAAAAGTTTTTGTTCCATTATCAGTCTCTTGTGAGACACAGGAGATGTAAAACTCAACACCATTCCATCAGAAGCCGGCCCATATCCTGGTTGCAATACAATGTATCTTTCACAGCTCTAATTCTCTAAAATATCTGGTCTTTTTGCAAGGCTGTATTTTGAAACTTGTTGAAATTTATTTCTAGTTCAATCTCTCAACAACGTCACCTCTATTCCATTCCTAAATCAGCACACCTCATCTCAGTATTTGCATACAGATGTACAAGACTCTATAAGCTTTCCATCAGATTTTGAGAATTCCTTACAAATCCATTTCCCACAGGTGTTGGCTGATGCCCAGCTCAGCTCTCAGCCCTCTCCTCTGGGATCCTTTCACAAGGATCACCATTTTCCCATTTGGCAGAAAATTTTAACAGCAGCAGCAACAAAATCAGCATTGAAATTTAACCTGGAGAGAACCTCCTGTGGAGGTTTGGGTTATTTCTCTCATTAGGGGAAATGAATGAGGGAAAAGTGCTGAGCTGTAATGCTGAGTTTTCATGGGATGCAGGATTGGGAAATTTCCTAAAAGCTGTTGAGGTAAAATCACTAAATCCAGTGTTTGCCAGTAATGCCACATATAGTTTATTTTTGCCTACACACTCTCATGAGTGATAAGTTTTCTTGGGCATTTTTAATTTATTTTTTATAATTTCTGGTGTGATGGTGTCTGTATCTTGTTGGACAAAAAATACCATTAAAAATATTACTGCTTCCCCTCCTGCCCTTTCCCTGAGGGAAAACCCACAGGGAGAGAACCACCAGTGGGTAAATGCCCTTTTTTAGGTTTGTCACATCCTTTTTGCTGCAGTGGGGACTTCACCAGAGCCTTTCTTCAGTATTTGTTCTGGCTGAGCTCAGCAGTGACTGTTTTCAGCTGGAGACTTCATTTGGAATTGTGGCTCCACAGAAAAAGGAGCAGAAAATCCAGCACAAAGTGCTCTCAGCCAGTGATGGGGAACTGTAGAACCAGGTTTAACTGCTTGCCTTTCACCTCCAGCAGGAATTTCTGCTCCCATGGATAAATCACTTCACCTCACAATCTGTGTGCTCACAGCCCTGCTGCTCCTGAGGGAATCAAGCCAGGCAGGTGAGGAAAAGCATCCAGAAGTGTTGCCTGCACCCAAACCTGCTTTCATTTTTCTTTAAATCATTAATTCCTTCAGTTTTTACCTGCCAGTGCTTGCAGGATTTTGTGCTAATCTCAGAATTTGCTTTTAAAATGGGTTATTAAGAAATTCCCCAGGGCTTGCCTGGTGGCTGGGACTTTGTGGGTGCCACCAAGTGTCTTTGATATCCCCAGGTGTCTTTGCTGCTAAAAGATGGCAGAGATGGGGGAAGATGAAAAAAGCCAAGGAAAAGGGGTGGGTTTAGGTGTGGTTATTGTGGTTAAAGCTGCAGTTCTGTGAGTTTATGCTCCCTTGAGCTGCAGCAAGGTGTGCTGAGGATGAGGGAGAAAACTGAGGTGAGGTGGCCAGTCCTGAGCAGTGCCAGGAGCCTTTTCCTCAGGAATCCAGCAGGAGCCTCCCTTTGGAAGGCTGGGCAAGCCCAGGGTAGCAGGAGCAAAGAAAAAGCTGATTTTTTACAGCCACAGTCTCTTCTTACAACCAATGGGGAAGAGAGGGATGAACCTTTCCCTTGTCCTGTGCTGCTGCAGCCTCCCAGGAGGATTCCCAGGATTTCCAGGAGGAATTTCAGGATTTCCAGGAGGATTCCATGAGGATTCCCAGCAGAATCCTCCATGCTGGGCTCTGTCCCTGCCATGACCTGGGGTTGGTGCTGCAGCCCCATCGCCCCTGGGCCTTTCAGGAGGGCTCACAAAGGGGCTTTGAGCTGGGAGCTGGAGCCCTCAGAAGGCTCTGCTGCCTTCCAAGGAACCCCACGGGGCCTCCAAAAGCTGCTGCTGGCTTTAAAGGGTTTCTAAAGGGAGACAAGAGAACTCCTTTGTGGAGATTTCCAGCCCCCATGGAGAAGTGGAGTGGAGAGGGAAAAAACAGGTTTTGTTTTACAATAATGTGGAGTTCAGCGCAAGGCCAGAAAATTCAACACCAAAGAAGGAGAAATAAATACATAATGAATGAATATGCTGTTATATTTAGAGAAAAACTCACAGCTTTTGCTGGAAAGAGTGAAAACATCCTGCATTTTTAAATTTATCTTGAGGGATTTTTGGCTTTTGTGCTGCGAATTCTCTGAGTCCAGGGAACAATGCTAAGCAGATTCTAGAAAAATCATTCTGGGCAATTAATGAGCAATATATTGACAAAATTGTTGTTTTAATTCTGCATCTCAGATGCAGAACCTGCCAGGAGTAGGGGAAAGGAAGGGTAAGAAAAATCAGTGGGTGGGAAGTGGGTGGTGAGGGACTTTTGGCTTCTCCTGAGGGAAAGATGGGGCTGGGCAGGAAAGGGGGAAGGTCTGGGCTGTGTGAGGAAGAGGAGCTGGTGCTGCCCCTCCTCAGGGATGGACTGGCTGTGCAGGAGCCCCTCGGAGGCTGAGGGACATCAACGACACCATTAAGTGACACCAGAACCTCCTGAGCCCATCTCTGCTGTCTCTGCCTTCTTTTGTGCCCTGGGGGGAAACAAAGGGAGTTTGGGAGTTGGGGGTGATTGTTCTGATTATTTCAGTGCGCTGTGGAATGAGGAGCTGTGAACACAAACCCCACACAAATCTGATTTTGTTGTGTTTTTCCAGGAGCTGGGAGGAATGATGATGCTATGAGTAAGGTATGTCTGAGTTCATTAGTGCAGAGCCACTAACGAAGGCGTGGGGCTGATGATTTTACATATTTATTTCAGAAATAGCGATCAGAATGTAAAATATTTTCATCTTTGAAGAGTTATTATTTTAAGTACACTGTTCATGGCTGGCTGTGTCTCTGTGCTGTTTTCCTTTGTTTGTTTTTGTGGGGTTTTTTTTGACTGAATTTTTTATCCAGAGCTCAGAATTCAGTTGTGCCCCAGGGAAGAACCTGCCAGCAGCCCTTGTCTTCATGGCTGGTAGAGTTGGGGAACTTGTGATCACAGCTTTCCACTCAAAGCTCGTCCCTCAAACCCTTCCATTGCACAGAGAGAATTCAAACAAGATCCTTTGGAAGGACTGAGGTTTCTTTTGCACGTTTTGTACTGCATATTTATATATTTATATATTCACACACACATATATACATCCTCTCTCTGTCTAGAAATATCACCCTGTAATTTCCAATAAGCAGACACATTTAAGACCAACAAACCTCACAAAATCTGACACTTCACTAGAAAAAACTTCAATTGCCCTGCAGTGCCTTTGATGAGGAATCCTCTGGAGTGACTGTAAAATTTGAAGATGTATCTTTAACTCACACAAATGAATCCACTTTTCCTCTCCTCCTCCTCCTCCTCTCAGGTTTCCAACTGTTCTGTGTCTCCTGGAATTGCTCTCTAATGAGACCTTAATTGGCTGCTAATTCTTTTGTCTGCAGCAGGAATTGGTCTCTTGGGGAGGCTGCACGCACCATCCGAGGATGTGCAGCAACATTTGCCGCGATTTTTGTTTGCAGCAGGCAATGAAGTGAAACGCTGTGATTTATTAATTAGGAAACAGCAGCAGCCCCTGCAGGTTTAGGGCCGGTTTAACCCCCCTGCACCTCCCCGGTCACCCTAAAATAACTTTGAAAAGCCTTGAAACCCAAGAGTTCCTCAATTTCTGCTTTTTAGGGCACAGACCATCGGGGAACAGGAGAGGGACTTCCAACCCTGACTGTCACAACCATCCTGGTAAGGCCCTGACAGGGCAGGGAGCAGCTTTTTTTTGGGGTAATTCTCCTTTTCCCACCCAAAACCATGTCAGGAGCCTAATTTCACTAAA